GTGGACAACAAGGGTATCTTCGGGGGGATCGGGTTGGGAGAGTATCTCTCGCTGATGCATGTCTGTGTCCAAGCCATGGCAGAGAAAGTGAAACGGAAGCGCGGAGCGCTACGGAGGCGTCGAACGAAGGCGATAGCGAGGCTAATCTGAAAGGTAAATGCTATGTATAAGTACGCGAAGACAGTGGCATGCAGGATCTGTGACAGCTACTGGTTGATGCATCATGTCTGTAGCGTTCGTATGCGAAAAGTAGGAAGGAACATGTTGCCCATCACCTGGAAAAGCCAAGAAACAAGTTAGTTGACATGTAGGACTTCCAGTGTGACGACTTAGGAATGCAGGGCACAAGCGTCTGTGGAAAGGTCCTGACAGCCGCGCGCGCACTAGGTCGAACGAGTTTGACCATTTGTCTTGGCCTACGAAGGCGTTTGGCAAAACCTTCACCCAGTCCCCATGGAACATAGTGGCGCCAATCAATTTGGTGCGCTAGTAAGAATTTTCTGCAACACTTGCGCTCCCTGACCGGCCATCTTCTTTGACAACAAGTACGCCGGCCAGGGGCCAGCAATACCACAGGTAGTACTCGAAGTCAGTGAAGTGACAGGTCGTGACTTATATGCAAGGCAACCGTCTTCAACAAACAGTGCTAATCTTGCCAGGCTAATTTGAGCCGCAGGCACAAATAGCTGAAGTTTAAGTTTCTCACTAGAACAAAAGCAACATGCATTGAATTCACTCCTCTCACTCTCCGTGCAAATAATCTCCAAGGTAAAACATACCATGTGAGAAGTCAACATGTGTGCATACCGTAGGGCGCCATCCACGCATATATGCCTTGTGTTCAAAAAGATCCAGAAGGTGGATGTGCATCTACTTCCTTCAAACAACCACTGCGTACAGCATCTATTAAAGCTTGAGGACTAGCAGACTTCTTAGTAAGACAATCAGCAAGACACCACTGAGTGCGTACCGTATATGTGACAAATGAGCTATAGCACAAGAACATGCTTCCTTCCTAAGCATTTAGATCACGTGGATGGTCTCTTGTTGCTCAGGGACATGTGATGTGCTCGCTGTGGTCACAAGGTTGTTTGCATCAGTGCGCATGTGAATGTCTGTTGAGCCACCTGTGATGTCCTTGATCGCCTCTTAGCATCTGGCAAGTGCCATAACACTTCATAAATGCATACAACTCTGCAACAGTTGTGGACAGGGTTGTTCCTTGATCTTTGAAGATTCAAAGAAATAAGGAAGCCTCTAGTGTTCTTCTGTTTGTGCTTCCTTTGCTCACCCATAAAAGTCGCCATAGCACGCTGAGAGGACTTGTCACTGTTGCTTCTGAATGCGGCATCTGGCATTGCAATCCAGTGTGGGCGACCTTCCAGTGGCCAAAAACGTAACTCCATTGGATCAGTCACGATTTGTTTGCACAGCTTGTTCAAGGCCTTACAATCACCTATTGTTGGTCCTGCTGACGCTGATGCAGACCTGGAGAATTGGTAGCACGCTTGAAACTGTGTCCTGGACTGTAACCAGTTGATGCTGCCAAGAAGGGGTCTAAAGGATGTGTTCATTTCCTTGTCACACTTATCTTCATCCTTTGCACCTTTAGGAAAAATCATGTCTGTCAATTCCTGAGCACAAAGGGAACTGTTCAACAGATGTATTCCTTCTTCTTGGTCTGCTCTTGTATCTTCCAGGAGACACGCAGGCCAGTGAACATAAGGTCATTAGTGTCTTAAACTGTGACTCCACAATCTCCTTGAACTCTTTCAAAAAGATGTCATTACCTGTCACAAAAAGATCATCAACATGTAAACAACACATACCAATGGGTCCATGAAACAATTGCATGCACAGGGTCCATGAAATGCTCAAGCAACTCTTCCACAACTTCAGGTGTAAGCTGAGGTGCTTCTCACACAGTGTATGTGCGTTCAGCAGGAAGAAAAAGACTGACAAGCGTTTTAGCTTCTTCCTCTAGAACAATTGCATGTTTCTCGTTTCGTATGTCCGTATTCGACTCGGGAATCCACCAAAAACCTTTTCGCTTAACAATAGAAGAACGAAAACAAAAACGTGAACGTGAATTCGTTGGTTCGGGTGTGCGAAGAGCTTTAGCGCGATACGCAACTTGAGCGTGACCATTCGCATATTTATGCCAACCAGACTTGTGCTCTACGGAGTCAAGGAAGTTCTGGAGTTCCTGATCTATCACAGGGGTCCGTTTTCCCTCCTCAACCTTAAGTTCCTTAAGCGTCACCGTTTTCTCCGACCTATTCACGAAGCACATCGAAAACAGGCGTTCTTCACAGAGAATAGACCTACGAACTTCCTCCGCTGTGTCGTGGAATTCGTTGTGCTGCGCGCCGGTTAGCCCACGGCCATATCATCACATCTTACATCCGGTGGGGTGGGGTGCGTTGGGGTGGAGGGTGGGGTGGGTGGGGATCTAATGGAATGATTGGCCCACTGCCACATCATCACATCTTACATCCGGGTGGGGTGGGGTACTCCTTTGCGCGAAGTGGTCATGCTGTGCAGGTGTGCAGGGTTGCTCAGGGTGCGGACAGCACGCAAAAGCCTACGCACAAAGCATCACCAGCATCATGGGTGTGGTGGGTTGGTGTGTGGTATGGGCAAATCAGCGTCACAAGCGACGAGATTTTCAGCGTCACAAGCGAGAGCCTCACCGGTAGGAAGACTCGGAAGACGCGATTTCCCCACTGGTTCTCCATGTCCGTTCGTTGTTTCAGAGGACCTTCTGGGAGTCTTCCGAATCTCCACACCACTCCCACCCAGTGGGTGACCACAGACGTGCTCCGCCTTCGATCGAACCACAGACCGAGCGAGAGCGCCTTCGGAGGAGCTCTTGCGAGCCTTCTGCTGCAGCAGCTCCAATGCAGGCTCCTTCAACGGAGCGGTCCACTACGAAAGCCGCGGCCCCGTCAAGTCGTGAACTCCTTCCTTCAACTCCCCTCCTTGTTAAATTGGGTGCGCAGTGGATGAAGACAACAGAAAGAGAGCCAACAATTGTCCAAGTTTTCTCATGTAATCCATCCCGTGAAGTGCCGGACCAAATTTGAATCCGGATTCCCAAAGATTCTAGAGTCTATACTTTCAAAACTTGCCGACGCTGCTAGGATCTGCAAACGGACAACATGATGGTACGAAAGATGATGAACCGGAGCAGCAAACCGGTGTGAAGATCCTTGAAGAAAGTATATAAAAGTATCATCGCTATTGAGATTCCGTCCCGCAGCCGCTTTTCCATGTGAGTCTTCGAAAAGCCCGTGCTCTGCGCCTCACACTCCGCAGCCGCCCAAGCCAACAGCAGTGCCGCCCAGCGCATCGGCTGGAGGGAGAATTGCGGCGTTTGAGCTAGTGAAATGGCTTGCGGATGCTTGCGGTGTCTTTTCCCAACTCTCTGGTGAAATGTTTGAGGGTGTCCAAGCTGGAGTGGTTCAACTAGCTTCTCAGGAGTCAGCATATGTCAGCATAGGACCTTTTGCACGTGCATTTCCTTCCAAAACTAATTACAATCTATATAATTACGTCTAATTACCGATCCTTCTTTCGGATCCAAGCCAAGCCTCTTGAGATCTTTTTGCAGTGGGTGTGACCGCATAATGGGTCACATGTTTGTTTTTTTTAATATCACCTGTTTGTTCTTGTTGGTGCTTGGATCATGTCGAATTCACAGATCCACGGGTTTTCCCGGGACGACCAGGTGAGACGATGGCGAGTCTTTGGGTCCAAACTTGGGTGAAGGACGACACGACTGGAACAGAGTTCTGAGACGTTCTGGGTAAAACAGGGCTCCAACCGGATCCTTAGAAGGTGGTTGAGTGGGTACATTCCAAGAGCCAATTAAACTTCCAAGCTACTACGCCTACTGATGCGTCTGTGTGTTCATGCACAAGCAAAGCAAGACTTCACTGGTGATTCCACAACATTCCACAAGTGCATGGGTCTGGCAATGCCCAGCTAGAGTAAAAATAAGATCGAGATGAAAAAGGGGAGGTCAGGTTCCCTTAAATAAGGTGCCTTCTATTTAATAAAGGGGGGGCCTTAACCTTCCCTTGTACCTCTTAGACATCTTATAATATTTTAACTTACTGCATGGGTTTGCTGTTTGCTTGGCATTTGCACCGGGGCGACCAGAGGCGCGTTCCAGTGAATATACATACGCACCCTTCGTGAACTGAACTCCCAATCTAAAACACGTCCGAAAGCAAAGCAGCGTCCGTTCAGGCTCCATTCAAGTACTCTTCTTTTTGCAAATTGCATGCAGTATGAACGATGATGTACAGGGCCTTGATAGGTAAGTGATGGTAGGTGTCAGGCGCCAGCAGCAGGTTAGTTGAGAGTCGAGTGCTACAAATCAGCAAAGCAGCAGCTCTGCTCTGTGCCAATTAACCATTGACCCTCATCGTCTTGGTGACGAAACTGAAACACTACATGCTCCATGCTCGCTCCGACTGTGTTGTGCGATCAATGACGATAAAGGGACCAAAGGGTCCCAAGTGTCACTGCACTCGAATGCTTGTTCAAAATCTTGGCACCCTTTGGTTTCACAGTTTCACTGGCCTGTGCAGCCAACATCTTTTGCTTCAACTGCACTCCAACTGCACTGCTTCACTGCTTCCATGATCTCACGGATAATATCACGAATTCCACGGGCAGATCTCTGCTCACAATCTCTCTCTGTCTCTCTCTCTCTCTTTCTCCGGTCACAACTCCGTCGCTCGGATAGCTCTGTGAATTCCAAGCGAACAGGATCTCCTTTGCGGATCTTTGCGGACCTTCCGAATCCCAGTCCAACCACGGACCTTCCTTGGGGAGGAAGCAGTTTCCATGGTGCATAGAGCTTTGTGCCGCTAGCGCTTTCAGAAGTTGGAGTGTAAAGTGTCGAAAGAAGTGAGCCTCACCTATGAAGCTGAAATCCGCGCGGCCAGGGTTTGCTCCTCGGCTGAAGCCACATTCGAAGCCAAAGTCCATCAGCTGTCCATGGCACTCCAGGTCCTCTTCTGGCCCACCTCCACCTGCAAGGAAGGAGTGGCGGTGGACAACAGGGAAAAACATAAATACATTATATCGAAACAGTCACACACACACACACACACGGTGATCAGTTCAGTTTGTCTTGTTCAGTGTCTAAAATCGTGAAGTGTTTGCACATGAACCAGGAGTTACATGGGGTGCCGGACCAGCATACCTCCTCACGGGTCGATGGACAGGTGACGGAAGGAGGTGTCTCTTTTCGACAGGTCGACACAGCGAACTGGGCAAACTTGAGAGAGGAGGGGGTGAACGAAAGGTAGCAGGCAATCACAAGTAACCCTGGTAGAAGTCCATGACGGCTTGAACCGGCGCAGGGGGGATTTGATCCAGGGGGGGGGGGGCCCCCCCGACGAACAGAATCAACTCTTACAGGACCAAATTCAATGCACAATCCCAACTCCTGATTGTAATACATGTTTGCTAAAGCAAGGAGAACTCAGGTAGCTCAAGCCACCTTTCGTGATGAGCCATCAAGATCGAATACCCTTGGGCAAAGAAAAAGACGCTCCGTGGTGACCCAAGCTAGATCTATGGCTATACCGAATCCGTATCTTCAAAACTGCCGGAAGGGAACAATGACAATGACTGGAGCGCCGCTTTCGTTCTTACAATTACTGATGCAGTGTAGAACATGTGTCAAGAACATGTGTGTAGATCAACCTGTGACTGTACTGAACTAGCAATCAACAAATGGATCATACGTGCTTTCGGCTTTCCAGATCCATGTGTGCTTGTCAGTGCTCCCAGCCTCCATGAAGGGCCGCAAGGACACCGGTTCAAAGTCTGGCCACAGACCTCAGATGGTCCCACTTGACGAAAAAGCACAGGGCTCCAACCAGATCCTCAGGTGGTTAGACCTCCCTGGCACCCACCCCTGGCCCATCGAACCGAAACGTACCTGCAGTTCCATAGAGTTGGGTGTTGAATGGGGTGCCCAGAACATTCACGGCCTAAAAAGATCTGAAAAGGCAGCCCGACATGGAACGCCTGGTATGGTTTCGTTTCTCGATTTTCGGAGAGATCTGGTGAAATCTCCCAATCTGGTTGACCATCATGCATGGATGACAGTTTCGATCAACAAATAGTGACCAAAAGCTGCGTCTGGTGCCATCCCTATTAGGTGGGAGGCCATCGCTATTAGGTTGGAGGCCATCGCTAATAGAAACAAAGACACAAGAAAAGGAAAAAAGGATAAGAAAGGTCTAATATAGATCTCCAAGTGGCGGTAGTGCTTTCCAAAGATCCGCCACTCCTCTGCAGGCCTCCTGAGCTCCGAATCAAGCTCGATGCCGGCCTTCCGCTTTGGTGTTTCTGCCATCCGGGCGACTTGCAGTGTTCGATATGAGATCCTATCAGCATTCAGCTTACAAACTGCTGAGAGATTAAGGCGATTTAAGGATGGTTGAGGATTAACGCCAAACTGTGAGGGTGATGCATCTTGCCTTTCAAACCCATCCTTCTTCTGTTTCATCGAAGCTCAAGCAGCTATGCAGCTATCCAGGCACATGATTGTTTTTTGTGTTTTGTTCTTATATAATTATTAACTCTTGTTTCATTGTGGGATGTTGTGTTTTTCAATTATGTTGTGTTGACGTGTGTGTTGTTTCTTGGTAGAACGATAAGGAGATATCCCAACGTCCACCCCCCGGTCCACTGTTATTATTTGGCATTCAAGTAGTACCCTTGCTTTGCCGAAAAGGATCACACAATCACCACAAGACTTGCAAATCAGTTCTCCCTGGCAGGAGCTTTTTCATCGCTGGTCCTACAATGAAATGGCTTTTTCATCGAGTCATCCAGACCAGTTCTTCTTCTGCGCAGGGTAGACCAGAAGCTTCGGGGGGTGGCTGCTCAGGCTGTGTGTATGCTCTTGTTGCGCTCCGAAAATTGCAAGACCGGCCTTTTGCCCTAGCCTAGCAGTATCCACGCTTCCCAAACAGATTGAAAAAACCAACAGATTCGATAAGTTAGCTCAAACGCTCAAGCAAAGTTGCTCATACGCGGTTGGACCATGAGTTGAGTTCATGCTCGATCCGCACAAATAAACAAAACAAACATACGATATGTAAACGACATTTCAATGCGTGACACCAATACATCAGTGATCCCAGTAAATGCCGCGTCAACTTCTTTCCTTCATTCGGTGGAGATGACCGGGCGAGCGCCGTTTTGATGGAAGCTGCGAGCTTTGGTTCACCGAACGTGGACACTTCTCCCATCTCGCATCTCCCAGAGTTGGCAGTTTTATGGACTTGTTTTTTTGGTTTTTCGCATCAGAACAACAAGAAGTCCCCAAGCCACCAAAAATCGGTGAAGGTGACCTGCAGGTGACCGCGCCAAGGCTCATGATGTTTAGCTCTTCTTCAGTATAGTTCGCATACCTGGCACTGTCGACGGCCACATCACATCATGAAGGTCTCGGCAGTTGGTCTCGTACTGAAGAGGTCCAGTTCTTAGCTTCCCAAGCTTTCTTGCTGATTCATATCTATGATATGGGCTCTGGTCTTCCGAAGTGCTCGCTAACTTAGGGGTAATGTCCATGTCCAAAACCTACCCATGGAGTTTCGATGCTGGGACTCTGTTCAGTTTTGGAGGTCAACCAAGCTGCAACAAGTAGGGTCAGAGTTCTGGCATGCAAGCACCTGCAATTTCAGGGAGGTACACATCGACCTACTAACATGGAACACATACGGACATACTGAATCATACTGACATGGAAGTGCAACAACATAAGTAACATAAGCGTCTATTTAAAGAAACCAAACAAAAACAAGAAAGATCAAAAAATACATCCCATGGCATATCTTCTGCAAGGACTTCAGAAGCTCTGATTCCTTTCGGTCCATTCTTAGAGCCCGATCGGGTCCAAGCAAATTCAACTCGATTCTGAATGAATGTCTGAAAGGTTTGAGGATTCTGGGTTGAACCAACACATCGTTCTAATCAACATTGGCAATCTGGTTGTTTGCAACCCTTCACATATACCTTTAACCTCATCTCATGGATTCTTCAAACTGAAGGTGCTGCGGTGCTGTGTTTGTGACACCAAAGTTTAGCACATTGTCCTCATGTCCTGTCCAAAGCTTCATGAACCTGAAGCTTCGCGACTGCATTCTACAGCGAAGGGCGCCCAAACCCTTGTGGTTCGGAAGAGCGGCCTCTTTTCGGAGCTAGTCACTCACATCGAGCTTCCCGGATCTTCCCGGTACGCCTCTGGCTCGGTGTATTCATACCTTTGGGTGTGTCAAACGGGAGAGCAGCAGTTCTATATATGTATTATATCATTCTTTTGTGACCCACAAAAAACGACGCTTGGAAGCACGAACGAAGAATTGGTCCGAATGGGATAGGGTGGATTTTCTCTGCTGTCTTATAACCCACGGTATACATTTCATCCATGTCCATCAAACTTCACAAACTTCACCTGTCTCACATTCCATCGCCCAAGCCCCAACGCAAAATACACATACAAAAAACAAATCACAACCATCCGAGTGGCAGGGGCAAGCCCAGAGCTTCCAGGCTGGGAAAGAAGCGCGGCACCAAGCGCAGCTCTGTAGGGCCACAGCGCGTGAGCCTCAGACGCAGCGGACTGCCGGACACTCGGTTATTGGTCGAAGGTGATCAATTTGGAAGGTGTTGAATAAAGCACCTGACCCCCGAACCATTTGGCAGGAACATCAAGGTGTTTAGATGTGTTTAGATGTTTTGTTTGGCTTTTCCACCTGCACCCGCAATGAGAGGGACACTCACCAGCAACCCACAAGTCACGGTGACCTGCAGGTGATCCACGGACGAAACCTGGGTAGGTGGTGTGAGAATCTGGGGCTCCTCTGCAGATGTCGGCCCTGGGAAGGGAAGACGACTTCCCTCTAGAAACCGGGGGTGGACTCCACTTCCATTTGGCTTCCGCACAGCTCAGCCTTTGCTCCCACAAACGTTCCTTCCGATGAGACGGGGAAACAACGGATACAGGGAAAGGATTGGCTAAATGGCTTGCCCCTTCCAGCCCTTCAGCTTCCCCTTATTGTTCTGAAAACACCTCCTGTCTGTGGTTCTTCTGTTGGATCAAACATCCATGAAATATCTCTCCTCTCACTGGAGCCATATCAAAACAGAAACCATCTGAACTGCCGCTACCTAGCCCAAGCGTCTCCTTGCAACTGTCTCGAATCGATTGCTTTGACCAGGTGATCAGCCCTGGCCATCGTCCGCTCGCACGGACGACAGGTGAAAACTCCTCCGTGTCGCGCAGACTCGCGCAGACTCCAGAGATTGAAGAAATACCAAAAGCTCTTAGGCAGAAAACCAAACAACACACCTAGCACTTCCTGTCTGGGTGCCCTGTCTGGAGGGGGTATGAGTAGGGTAGGGTAGTCTATTGGACACCCAAACAGGATGGTCCAGGCAAGTCAGTCGTTGGTTGACATGTTGGGATGGTGTTTCAATCCCAAGTTTTGTGGAGAAGGGCACCCCATCCATGGGTTCATTCGCCCAACGTGAAATTCGTGGCATATGCCCATCGGCTTTTAAACCTCACTCTGGAGAACATGTAAAAAGCAACGTGGAGGAGGAAGTCCTGGCAATGTGCTTGAAGTAACAAGCGAGGGTTTCGACGTCTCCAACATCCCAAAACCACTCACATTTTGAGAAATATGCCTGGAGCGACTCCTTCTAGATATTCTGGTATAGTACAGGTTGCAAAAAAATTCTTTCTTGTTGGAGGCATCAAAACTGTGCCTGGACACGAACCAGAATCAGAAGTGCTTTTTGCGCCTGTATGCAAATATACAATCAATGCTTGTGAATGTGTTTCAATGTTTAATCCTTGTGAATGTGTTTCAATGTTTATGTGGATGATTAATCCACATAAAATATATAGATCGAATTCATGATCAAGGCACCAAAGAGTTCGGAACTGTCGACATTGAATCCCCCTCAGAAGACCTTGAGTCAATCAAGCATCCCTGTATAATCCGGTGGTATTTCAGCACAGTGCCTAGTATAGACCTCAAGAAGACCCACCAGGGTCAGAACTGGATTCCACTTCTACCAGCACCTTCCGCATCTCTTGACATTTCCAGTTACCACATCCCACCCGTCACATCCCACATCCTCATCCCATCCCACCTTCACGCCAGAAGTTCAAGTGATTCTTCGCATACATTGGGGGCTGCTGTCCACTTGGCAGGAGTGGAACTCCCTGAGTCTTCACCAAAACACCGGTGGTCACCACGCCTCACGACGGCCAGAGATGTGTTCAAAACAATGTGAGGCATGTGTTTTCCTTGGCCACTGGACTAGGTCGCCCTTCGATACTATACATAACTCTATACAGCTATACATATTGTATGATATGATTCAACAAAAAGGAACACAACACTGATGAACCACAACGGGAGGGTCCAACCTGTTTGGTTCCCAGTTTTTGTTCAATGGTTCCACGATTGAAAACTGGACATCATGGTACCCATTTTGGGGGAGGTCCTCTGTCAAAACTACCCTAAAACCACTGAACCACTGATTGAATCTGATTGAGACGAACTGATTGCCTGTTTTGTGCCAACTGAGCCATGCCAAAGCGGGCAATTGAAAAGGTGATTGGAAAAAACGTCAGGAACCCCAAACTTCCAATGCACTAGAAAGGCTAGACACAATATTCTCCCAACATATTCCAACCTATCCAACCTTATCCACATCACCAAAAACAAGGTGATAAATTTGTGGATCCACCCTTCAAAAGGATGGCTACCCAATACAAACCTGAGAAACTGCAAAACGAAAGCCAGCGTTTTTACTTTCGAGTGTGCTTTCTCAGGCCACCCCCGAACGCCCTTCTTACTCAGCTGGCGCAGGTATAGATACCCAGGGTCACTACAATTCAGTTAGCAGGTATAGTACTGCAAGTTCCCTTCCCGTCAACCGCTCGATAACCTTTACACACGCACAGCAATCCACAGCTTTGAAGTATCATTCTTGCATTGAACTTATATAGGTGTGTAAGAGGTATAGCCACATTATACGGACCCAGGGTAGCTACAATTCTGTTGCCAGGTATCCCACTTCAATTTCCCTACCCTGGGTCCGCGCGCGCGCCTTGCTGGCTCTCGGCTGCCCGTGATTTAGGCGCGCACGCGCGTACCCAGGGCAGCTACAAGGCAGTTGCCAGGTATACCCAGGGTAGCTACAATTCAGTTGCCAAGTATAGCACTGCAACCAACCGAAGACAATTGCATTTCTTAAAATCACAAAAAAGCACCTCCAAAACCTTGCTTCCGTGCACCCGCTACACACCACCTACTTTCGAGTGTGCTTTCTCAGGCCACCCCCCAAACCCCCCTTCTTAATCTGCTGATGCCTTGCCAGGTATAGATACCCAGGGTAGCTACAATTCAGTTGCCAGGTATAGTACTTCCAGTTGCAGTTGCCAGGTATACCCTGAGTTGCGCGGACCCAGGGTAGGGAAATTGAAGTGGGATACCTGGCAACAGAATTGTAGCTACACTGGGACCGTATGAATGCTATGTGGCTATACCTCTTACACACCTATATAAGTTCAATGCAAGAATGAGACTTCAAAGCTGCGGATTGCTGTGCGTGTGTAAAGTGTGTAAAGGTTATCGAGCGGTTGATGGAAAGGGAACTTGAAGTACTATACCTGCTAACTGAATTGTAGTTACCCTGGGTATCTATACCTGGCAAGGTGCCAACGACACCTTACCATTCAGATGATGCAAATGATGCAAATTGCACTTCTTGCATCACCACCCCTCAAAACACCGCCAACACAACCTCAAAAAACCTTCCATCCGTCCACCCTCCTCCCCCAGCATGTGCCGAGTATACGTGTACCTTTTGCTAACTACTCACTTCGTTCGCCAAGCACAACTCAGCTGGCGCCTTCTACGAAGGTTGGCTTTCATAAAGGACACACCCCTTTAAAAGTGGTGTGGCTCAAATCCCAGTCAACGTCAACCCCTTTCACACCTGCCACGTGTGTGTGTGTGTGGGGACGGGGGTCTCACCGTAGTAGCAGGGGCACTGAGCATTCCTTGCAAGCTCAGTGCAACGAAGCTATGTTTTGCAGTCACCTTCGGTTTTGCAGCCACTAACAAGTCAAGGGCACTTCATAACTGAACTCCCACTGGACGTTCCCTCACTGGAACTATGAGTCTAACTGTGACCTGCTGCATCTTCCCACTTGGGTGTGCAGTGTGATCCCCGCAAGGGGCGCCGAAGCCAATCCGGATTGCAGCTTTACTGACCTGCTTTTTTGCCCGAAGCCCATGACTGATCAATCGTCTTGCCCGAAGCCGATGACTGATCAATCGTCTTGCAGGACCAATTGAACTTATGCCGACGGGCTCACGTGCTACTCACTGGAATCTCAATCTCCACCACGTTCACGTTTCTGCAGAAGTTTTCACGTCTCTCAGTTGGTTTCAACCGTTACCATATACCAAAGGCAAACTTTCAGCTGATTTTGTTGCACTATTTTCCACCCACCCACCACTGCCTTTTTCTCTCTTGCAGTTTTCTTCGTTTGTTAGGTTTTCCTTCAGGCTTGTTAGGTTGCTCTTGAGGCTCGTTTGCCGCACCCCTCGTCTTCGTTTCTTTCTCTCCTGCCTTTTGCTTTCTTTCTAGGTCTGACTCTTTTCTAGAGGCTTTTAGGTGCTTAACCAGGCCTTTTAGTCAAGGGCTACGTATTCACTCGGTTTTTTGCCTTTCTAGAACCTAACTGATTCCAACGCTGTGGAAAGTCTTGTTTCCACGTTGAGCAAGTGCGCGCCGATATGCGGCCAGTTGTGTGTGTCACACCCCGTCCTCAGGGGTCTCACCGTGGTAGCAGGGGCACAGAGCACTCCGTGCCAAGCTCAGTGCAACGAAGCTATGCCTTGGAGTGGGATGCACGGATTGATCACCCGTGTGTACCTGCGATTTTCGGAACTTTTGAGCAAGCTGTGACTCCAATTTTTCCCTTCACCGTCCTCCCCAGAGTTCACCTGCGCTGATTTGCAGACGACCTTTGTTCAAGCACCTTCAATTGCGCCGACTCTTCACCTTTCGATTTTGCAGTCACTAACAAGTCAAGGGCACTTCATAACTGAACTTCCACTGGACGGTACGTTCCCTCACTGGAACTATGAGTCTGTAACCCTAAGTCATACGGAGCCTTCTTGGCTTTAGTTCCCCTTTAGATAAACATGCAATGGGGTGGCAGGGATGCACACTGGACTGGTACCAACGAAGACGCCAGTGCTGCATCCAATCGATCTGGGACGCAGGATCGATCGACCTGTGTTTCGACTTTCATTGGCTACTTGGCCCCTGCTTGTAATTAGAACAAGACCTCGACCATTGCTCTGGCTTTGCTGCAAAGGGTATACTGAGCTCTGCAGACTTGCACTGGTTCCTCGATGATCGTTCGATGTTTGCTTTGGGACTTCGATCCTGTGGGATCTTGGAAAATTGGCTTCTTTGTTGACGATTAAACATGATTAAACGCCGCTTCACTTCATCCCTGTTAGGCCGATTTGAATGTCTTGGCCAGTTTCACGGCAAGTGGCATTCAAACCAGTTGAACCGAACACATCGTATCTCGAGTGTGTGCTCACTCCGTGCATTCGCAGGGAACCGGAACCCTGCAGTTCCGAACTCGTCGCCAGACTTCGCTGGCATGGCGCAAGTGCGGCCGCTGCTGCGCCTGGCTGGGTCTTGGCTGCCAAGTCCTGCAAGCTCAAGGTGGAGCGTGTGAGTCTCCAACCTTGGAGGCCCCGGTGCGGCCAGCGGTGCGGCACCGAAGCTTGCGAGGCCGGCGTGAATGCATGCCCTGCTGTTTGGGGGGTGGAGAAAGGAGAGGCCTTCACATTCATCGGCTGGGGCATTAAATGTTTGTTCCTTGTTGTGCGTGTGGTTGAAGTGATCAATTAAAAAGAAAAAGGAGAATTCGCAGTCGCAGTCCATCTATTCAAGCTGCGTTTTGAGAGTCTCCAATCTACGTTTTCGACTGCTTCCCTGGCCCTGGCGTATGCCGTACCCACCAATTTGCGAACTTCCTGGAGTGGCAGATTCTAAACTTAAGTAGGTCCAAGCCAACCCGAATCAAATGACTGGCTGCGCTCCCACGTGTGTAAACACAGAAAAAAAAGATCCCCGGGAACAATCAGACCGCCAACCCACGAAGCGTACCTTGGTGCCATTTTCCCCCCGGAATTAGATATTGGGACATCACACTCTGGGTGAAAGGAGCCATGACCGGTCATGGCAGTGGATCATCAGGGGTGGCAGGAGTTTGTTTTGTTTCTGCAAGCACAGATGCACAGGCAAACATGTTACACTCTGACTCACTAACATGGATAAGTCGAACATGGCCACTACCAACAAAGGGTTTTCAATCCGCCGGCCTGCCGGCGTGTTTTGTGGATTGTCTTGGTTAGTATAGCTTGTCTTGGTTTCAGCTTAAGGTTTGTCTCTCCGCGCGGATTTTTCGACAGCCTGACGCACCCCCCCCCTTGCCTTACTTTTAGTAAAGAAAATCATCTTCCCAACTCATTTTTCTTCTTTTAATGTTGAGGTGCTCGTACTTTTAGTAAAGAAAATCATCTTCCCAACTCATTTTTCGTCTTTTAATGTTGAGGTGCTCGTACTTTTAATAGAGAAAATCATCTTCCCAACTCATTTTTCTTCTTTTAATGTTGAGGTGCTCGTACTTTTAATAAAGAAAATCATCTTCCCAACTCAATTTTCTTCTTTTAATGTTGAGGTGCTCGTACTTTTAGTAATGAAAATCATCTTCCCGACTCATTTTTCGTCTTTTAATGTTGAGGCGCTCCTACTTTTAGTAATGAAAATCATCTTCCCAACTCATTTTAATAATCTTCCCAACTCATTTTCTTCTTTTAATGTTGAGGTGCTCGTACTTTTAGTAATGAAAATCATCTTCCCAACTCATTTTTCGTCTTTTAATGTTGAGGCGCTCCTACTCCCCTCTCGCCTTGTCTTGTGTTGTCGCCTTGTCTGATGCACTTGTCTTCGCTTCTCTTCTCTTTTCGTTCTCGTTCTCTTCTCTTCCCCCTCTTCGTCTTTTCCAAGCAGGCCATGCATTGGCGCACCGTCGCGCGTGTAGAAAAACGTATAAAAACCTTGGTTTTTCCACGCGCTTTGCGGGAACTCGCTGCCAATTGGGTTCTATATCGCTTACACTGTCACGGCGTTATTCTGGGCAATGGCTCTTACACGACTTCGTTCTGACACCGCAACCTGTGCACCTTCCAAGTCCTGTCGCGCACAAGCCCCTTGCAACCATTTCCTCGCTACTTTTTTTCGCTTACATGTCGCTTTTGCAGAAGCTCTGTGTTACACACGCGCTCTCTGCAAGTACTGTTCGCTGCCCACTCGCTTTTACACCAGCGCAGCTTTTGTTTTTGGCCAGTTGCTCTCCACTTACATGGCTCTTACACTACTTCGTTTTGACGCCGCACCTCATTGACACAAACATCTCCAGCCAGCGTGCATGTTCCAAGTCATGTCGCGCACAAACTCCTTGTTTTCACGCACTTTGATATCGTACACTCTGTTAGCTAACCTT